ATCAATCTGGAGATTTTATAATAAAAATCATGGGGCAGGGTGGGGAGAGGAAGAGTTGACTTGATTTGAATCTTGTCATAAATCTTTGATGGTGTGATTCCCTGTATAAGGAGCTGGAAGATATTTGGCTGGGACACAAAAGTGAGGAATAAGAACTCCTCAAGAAATTAAACATTATCTCTCACTTGGGCCTAAACAGAGACTTGGATTTCCTTCTTGTTGTTCAGTTGCACAGTCGAGTCAGACTCTTCATGACCCCATGGATCACATCACGCCAGGCCCGCCTGTCCTCCGACGTCTTCTGGAGTTTGCTTAATGTCATGTTTGTTGCAGAACTTGGGAGGGCATGCAGAGGAGCATCCAGGGGAAGTCCCCTGCAACTTTGATCTCTCTAGTTTGCATGAGATCCGTTCTATATACTCCAGAACCTGTGCCTGTTATTTCCCTAGAAAGCACTTTTCTGGGGGCACTTTCTTGGGGGGGGGGCATAACTCGGACCCCGTAAATCCAATCCTCACCAAACGTGGAGGGCAGGTAGAAGAGATCCAGTGTCTGGTGTTGGACTATTTAATATTTAAATACACACAACATCAAAAAGGAACCCTTTTTGCTGCCTTCGTTGATATGAAGGCAGCTTTTGATTCCATTGACCGTGTGACATTATGGTCAAAATTGAATTCTACCACCATAGACAAAAGGCTTCTCCATTTGTTAATAAACCTCCATAGCAATAACACTCTTCAGGTAAAATATTCCTCAGACGGTAGACTATCCAAACCTATTCAGCTGAGGAGGGGTGTTAGACAGGGCTGTCCGTTAGCCCCATTTTTGTTTAATTTCTATGTGAACTCTCTTATATCCGATCTGCGTAACATCGATGTTCACGCACCCAAACTCAACTTCGAATATAAGGTACCTGTTCTTATGTATGCAGATGACACAGTTCTTTTATCTCTGACCAGAATAGGTCTAAAGCGAGCACTTACATCCCTCTCTAGCCACTGTCAGGAAAATTTGCTTTCAATTAATTTCTCCAAAACAAAAATAATGTGTTTTAATCAGAGGCAAAAAAAATACACCTGGAAAGTAAATGGGAATGATGTCGAGCAAGTTAAGTTCTTTAAATACTTAGGGGTTACATTTGCATATAATGGTAACCCTGCAGCTCACATCAAATCAGTGGCTATTTCGGCAGAAAGAACTGCTTCTGCTATACTAAGATTTTTCAGAAAGGATGGTGCACACTTCATTCCAGCTGCCTTGAAACTCTTTTCTGCTAAAGTTTTAGCTCAAATGAGATATGGGACACAAATTATGCGATTTACAAATCTTCAGGCGTTAGAACTAGTCCAATCAAAATTCCTGAGATCTTTATTTAATACTCCTGAGCTGCAAACGACTCACGCCGCAACTCCGCCGCTCTATAAATCTCTGAAACCCGAAATTTATATGACCACTCCTCAATATTTAGCTAATATCTCCAACCCAAATCATAGATGGGCTTTCTCCAGAGCCAGATTTGATGCTTTTCCATCGGCAGTTCTTTCTGGAAGATTTCAACGTATCCCAAGGCATTTGAGACTTTGTTCATGCTCCTCTGAGTCAATAGAGACCCTCCCCCATATTTTATTTTATTGCTCTTATTATGCAGAAGAAAGAGCCCTCTTAATTACACCTATATTAAGGTCACTTAGGGTCCAAGGACAACTAGCAATTCATTCTGAGGAACTTGTGCTGAAATATCTATTGGAGGACAAATCCATTGCAATATCAAGGAATGTTGCTAAATTTCTTTTTATTGCATTTGCAAAGCGCAAGCTCCTCCTTAATACTATTTATGATGTCTCCTCTCTGTAAGGTTTTGGTAACCTGGGTTTGCTTTTTTGATCCTGTATGCTGTTTGATGGGTCTTTGACCGTAATAAATAATGATGATGATGATGATGAAGAGATCCAGCTGGAGATCCCCTGCAACATTGATATCTCTAGGTTGCACAGGATCCATTCTATACACTCCTGAACCTGTGTTTGTCAAACTTACCACGTCATTTCCCTAGAAAGCACTTTCCTGGAGGCACCTTATTTGAGGGCCATAACTTGGACCTTATAAATCCAACCCTCATCAGACTTGGAGGGCTGGTAAAGCCGCCCTGAGCCTACGGGGAGGGCGGGATAAAAATCTAAATAATAAATAAATAAATAAATAAATAGTTAGCTGGAGATCTCCTGTGAGTTTGGTGTCTCTAGCATGCCAGAGGGCCATTCTACCACATCACGAACCTCATAAATCTCACTGGTTCATTTGGTGGCTAAATGTTCATGATGGTTCATGGTTCACGAACTGAACTGCATTTTTCTGGTTTGTGCCCGTCCCTATTCCAGAGCTTTGGTGTCACGACCAAGAAGGCCCTCTCCCAGATTGCCACCCACCTTAGTTCAAAATGCAGGACATCAAAGCACAGGCTCTGAAGATGACCGTAGTAGTTGGGAGGGTTCATAAGGGTGTAGGTGGTCTTTCAAACCATATAGGGCTTTTAAGGTCAACACCAGCACTATGAATTGAGCCTGGAAATAAATTTGGAGTCAGTATAGATGGGCCAAGACTGGAATGATATGTCTGACCCACTGCAGTCAACATCCTGGCTGCAGTACTGTGTCCCAATCAGTTTCTGAGCACTTCTCAAGGGCAGCCCCATATAGAGTACATTGTAGTAATCTCATCAATATGTAACAAGAACATGTTCCACAGAGACCAGATCTTATGAAATCTGCTTTCCAGACCAGTATTTGTTCTTCTGTTTCCCTTTGGGAGTAAGGTCAAGTCTTCTGTGTTCTGCCAGGAATGACCCTTTAACACATTTTTAAAATATTGTTTTGTATTATTATAATCAATTTGTGTTTTTACTACTTTCTGCATGTTATTTCCTGGAAAGGCAGTTTAGAAAAAGTGTAAATAACTAAAACAGGGTAAGAATCGTGCTGGATCAGATCAATGATCCATCTAGTCCAACATCTTGTTTCCTACAGTTTATTTGCCAAATGCCCTGGAAATTTCACAACAGGGGCAGAGCTGTTAAAGCCTCTTCCTGCTGCTACCCACCAGGAACTTGCATTTAGAGGTATATTGCCTCTGAACATGGATAATCCTGGATCATCCCAGATAATATCCACTAAATCTCCTTTTAAAGTCATCAAACCTAGTGACCATCATCATATTCTGTGTCAACAAATGTCACAAGTTAATTATCCATAGTGTAAAGTATTTTGGCTATCTTGAATCCACTGCCTGTAAACTCTATCCAGTGGCCTTGAATCAGTATTTGAGGAAAGGGAGAAAAACATCTCTCTATTCACTTTCTCCACACCATGCAAAGTGTTATAACATGTCTCCCATCTGTCTGTTTTTTATTTCTAAACAGAAAACTTCATACTATGTAACTTTTCCGCATGAAGATATTCCAAGCCAGTGATACTCAGCAGCTCAGGAGCAACCCGTGGCTCTTCTGAGCACCATTTCCCAATGTGGGACCTGCCCCACGTTCAGGAAAGTGGGCAAGTCTCTTGCCCAGAGTGGCTTGTGGTTGGCAGGTAGTTCCAATTTTAAAACAGATGCCACCAGAGGACGTAGGGTTGCCGTCTGCCTACAGAAAGCAAGGTTCTGCCCTTTTAATAGAACCTTAACGGGATATATTTACCAGTATGAAATTATTCACCTCCATCCCATGGAAAGCTTCAAATCCCAGTTTCCACAAATTAAGCCCCTGTTAAGAGAATAAGTCATTTCCGCCCTGCCTTGTTAGCAAACCTAAAAGGAACAGGTAAACTGAGCTTTCTTGAGGTGCAGGCCTTATCACAAGGATGGAAACAAATGTGGCTATTTGGGTTGATGGCAACCACAAATGTGGCTCTCTGCATGCTGTAAATACCAGTTTCAAGCCTTTCTGTATTTTGGTTGCCCTTTTCTACACCGCTTTCATTTTTATACCAGGAAATGATACTATTTTATTTTCAATGTCTTTACAAATAATTCCTGTCATAGAATTTACCCTTTTAACTGCTGTGCACACGGAGTCCATATTTTTTGGCAAGCTATTCCCCAGGATCCTAATATCATTTATGAGCAGCCACTTCCTGTTGAAACTTCATGGATGTATATTTAAAATCAGGATTGCTTTTCCTACTGTACACATTTTCAAACATGTTTTTAACATTTTTGCAGTATTGCTATCCACTACTCCCAGTTATCCGCTTTAATTCCCACCAATCTGTATAATTTGGCGTTGCCCCCCGATTCACTGCTTGGCCCCTGACTCCACATAATTTATGAGCAAATAAAATAGCACTGGCGCTTATTTGATACTTGGGGGAGGGGGAACTCTGAGGATTGCTTTTTCCCCGTAATGAAAACTCCATTTCATCCTAGTCTCTGCTCCTTGTCACTAACCCTCAAAGGGACCTGCGGAGGAAACTCGATCGAATGCCGTAGGAATTCCAGCTGAGAAAACTTGCAGAGGGATGACCGGCCCCTCCACCTTCTCAGCCCCGCCTGTTTCCATAGAAACAGGCCACAGGAGCAAATCGCTTTACACGCCCTAAAAGGGGCTTCCGCTTTTCCTCACAAGCGTACGGATTCAAATCTAACAAAACCTTTCCAAACTACCATAAACCCCCGAAAACGTTCCCTTTACTCTTTATCTAAGCGATTTGTCCCAACACGACGGATGCAAAATAAAGGGCGGGCTTGCTACGACCACGCCCCCCCCTCCCCACCCGCGTCTCGTCCCATTCTCTCTCTCCATGGAAGACTGGAAAGGGCGGGAAGGATGGGCGGGTGGATCGGCGACCACCCCCTCTCCCGCAACCAATGAAAGTTGACGAGCGGATCTTCGAGCCAATAGACATGACAAGAAGGAGACTCTCGGCGAAAGGGAGACGGGAGGGGGGGGGATGAGCGCCGCTCGGGCAAAGTTGCGCGAGTTCGGGAATGAGGAGAGAGGGGGGCGGTTGGAACCGTTGGAGAGCGTGCGCCGCGCGGATGACGAGCGGGAGGCTCCTGGCCAATGAGAGCGCTACGTGGCAGGGTGAGTGACAAGCGGGTTCGCCAGCAGCAGGGGGGGTGGGTCAAAAGGCCGGCGTTCCGAGGGGGGAGCGTTGCGCGCAGGTGAGTCGCTTTTGCGCTGCGGGGGGTGGGTAGGATAGAAGGAAGGGGAGGAGCCGCGCGCCAGTCTGTGGGGAGCGGTGGGGCAGAGCGCGCGCAGCTTGGGTTTCTTGGCTGTGAGGGAAACTTGGCTGTTTCTTCCTCTCCCCGCCCTTCACCCTGCGTAGTTTTCCTGTGGGGCATCCTTCCGCCTTCGCTTCTTCCCAGCCGCTCCTCATTCCGCCGTCGGAAGGCGGGAGGGGGCGCGCGGTGCACAGCCTCGCCCCCTTCCCTAGCAAGCTCTGGGAGAGACGTTATTTCCCCTCCCTTGGGCCGTACCGTGCCTGGCTCTTGAGGCGCAGGCAGCATCTATAATACCAAACCTGCCATTTCTCCCGACTCAGCTCTTTTTCTATCTCGGTCACAGAGAGAAAAAGCGGTAGAGCCCTCTGGTGATAGAAGGGGGCTAGACCAAGATGGTTAGTCTGCCTGTAGCAGCAGCAGAGAAGAGCAGGAGTCCATTTGCACCTTAAGGACTTACGGAATTTGTGGCAGGGGATCTGAACAAGTGAGCTGTGGCTCATGAAAGCTCCTACCCTGCCACAAATTTTGTAAGTCTTTAAGGTCCTGCTATATACTCTCGGGCTATACTGCTTTGGGTGGAAGGATTAGAATAGTTCCTTGCACACATGTATTCTTTAAAATCGTTCCCCACAAGTAGAAAACGAGAAGAAATATCCATGGTTATGTTTATAAGAAGTTCTGGGGTTGGTCTATTGCAGCAATAACTAACCCCTTGTGACACGTTAAAGACTTGTTGACACTATTCCTCTGTAAGGTAACTATTGTTTGTTTTTTAAAAAACAAGCTAGTGTTTTGTTTAGTCTTTCTTGACTATTTTATGTTGGTTGCATTTTGGCCTGTGCTTCCTGCATTTTATGGCCTCTTCACCTTGCCTTTTTCATGCTTTCTACATAAAATTGTAGTGAGGGTCTGTTGCGTATACTTTATTTATTTATTTTATATTTATTTATATTTACATTTATATCCCGCCCTACCCCAAAGGCTCAGGGCGGCTCAGTTGATTGGGCTCTTGTCTGTGAAAGTTTATGCTGGAATATGTTTCCTTACTATGACAGTTTCCTACTTGTACGGAGGGGTGTGGTTAATTTAGAGGAGTGGGGCGTTAAAGGCATCAAGACAAACAATAAACATTTCTTTAAATATATCCAGAGCAGGAAACCAGGAAGCAGTTGGGCCTTTGGATGACTGAGGAACAACGGGATTGCCAAGGAAGATAGGGAGATGGCAGAGAAGCTCAATGAATGTTTTGCTTCTTTGTTCACTGTGGGAAGTGTGGGGCATATACCTATGCCACAGCCACTCTTTTCAGGAAGGGAGTCTGAAGAACTGAGTCAAATTGAGGAGATGAGAGACGAAGTTCTGAACCTCTTGGGGAAATTAAAAACCAATGAGTCTCCAGGTCCTGATGGCATACACTTCAAAGTTCTTAGGGAAATCAGTTGTGAGATAGTTGATCTACAAATCTGTATACGTAACCTATCACTAAATACAGCCACTGTACCAGAAGCCTGGAGAGTAGCAAATATTACACCAATTTTTAAAAACAGGTCCAGAAGGGAACCAGGAAATTACAGGCCAGTCAGCCTAACATCTGTCCCAGGCAAATCAGTAGAAATTGTAGTCAAAAACAGAATAGAGGAACAAAGCCTACTGAGGGAAAATTTGCATGGCTTCTACAAAGGGAAATCCTGTCTCACCAACCTTTTGATGTTCTTTGGGAAAGTGAACAAGCATGTAGAGACCCAGTAGACATTGGACTTTCAAAAGGCTTTTGACAAGGTACCTTACCAAAGACTCCTGAGTAAACTTAGTTGTCATGAAATAAGAGGACAGGTTCACTTATGGTCTAAAAACTGGTTAAATGAGAGGAAGCAAAGGATAGGAATAAATGGACAGTTCTCACAATGGAGGGAATTAAGCAATGGGGTCCCACAAAGATTGGTACTGGGGCTGGTACTATTTAATTTATTTACAAACTAGGAAAAAGGCCCATTGTGGAAATAAATACAATGGCCTCTAGAAAGAGGCTCTGGGTGGGTGCCCAGGCCTTGGACACTCAGTGTCAATTTGCTGTGGCGACCTCAGCAGGGTATAATGACACTGAGTCCACCATTTTCTCCAGAGGAACTGATCTCTGCTACCTAAAGAACAGTTGTGATTTTGAGTGATCTCCAGTCCTCACCTGGAGATTGGTAACGATGGTTCCCCAGAAGGGAATAGTTGGTTTGGAGGGTGGAGTCTATGGCTTTGTACCTGTCCGAGGTCCCACACCTCCTGAAACCTCACCCTCTCCAGGCTCCATCCTTCACATCTCCAGGAATTTCCCACCTGTTGGCAACCCTATCTCCTTCCCAGCCAATCATCAACCTTCCTTTATTTCCCCCTCACTCTTCAGCTTTCCACCCCCCACACACCTGCAGCCTCTCCTGTTATCTGAAGCCCTAACTGCTATGTCGATTGGCTGTCATACGGGGGCCACCTCAGCAGCATATAAGGATACAGAGTCCACCATTTTCTCCAGGGGAACTGATCTCTGCCATCTGGAAAGCAGTTGTAATTCTGAGTGCTCTCCAGCCCTCACCTGGAGATTGGACACATTTTACCTCAGAACAGCAAACTCTTTAGAATGTTAGAGGCAAAAGCCAATCAAGTCGCATATGCAAACGACTTCTGTGTTCTGAGGCAAAGGCCAAAGAGGCTGCATATGCAAATAACCTCTGTGTTCTGACTGGCTATGGGGGGGAGAGGAACAGCAAAATGTTTAGAATGTTGGAGGCAGGACTCAGATAAAGCAGCCAGTGGATAGGGAGACCCTCTGAATGACAGATCAGAGAGCGAACTGATTTTGGAGCGTGTGGAATGTTCTAGAGAAGTGCCACCACCATTCGGCTTTTATTTATAAGGGAGATGATCAGGAACTAGGGGTGAACAGTGTAGTGGTCAGGGTTGTAGATGGACACAGAATTATTCAGGATGATGAAAACCAAGGCTGACTGTGAAGAGCTCCAAGAGGATCTCCACAAATTGGGTAAGTGGGCGACAGTGTGTTCTAAGTAAATGGACTAATTGATAAGCAGATCACACACACACACACCCCGGTGGGAAAAGTGGAGCGCAAAGAGGGACGCCTCTTAAGCGCATGAACAGATAAACGTATCGAAGCGGGAGGAAATAAATAGCGTGTGTATTTTGAGAGACGTACTTGAGCGCAGATAGCGAATTGACGAGTTCTTCGAGCCCGGGTGAAGCGGTTTGAAAGTGTAAACAAAGTTGAAAAATTGCGGCATCTTGAGGAAAGTTTAAAACGAAACCGGGTAGTCAGAGCCCGAGGCCGGAAGAGGGAGCTGACGTCATGAAGTTGTTAGCGGATATGCTCAAGCCAGTGATGGACCAACTCGATGGTAGTAACCAGCAACTGACCTCTTAAATCAAAACTTCGCTTTACAACAGCGCCAGCTGGCATAAACGGAAAAGAAAGTAGAACTTGTGACTGAGAAATTTACAGAGATGGACACCTCAAGCAAGAAGATGAAGAAAAGAATGGGAGAAGTTGAAACGAAACAAAATCTCCAAGAAAATCGTTTGTTACAGCGGCAAATGGAAAAGGCTAATATGATTCTCAGGTTCCAGGAAGTTCCTGAAACAGAAAAAGAAGATCGGAAGAAGACTCTGGGCGAGATTATTGCTCCAGTGACAGGCTTACCAGCGGAAGAAATAATAAAAGACAAGGAGATGGCCTATCAGGCTTACTCCAATTATATTTTAAAAAATAGCCTGCCTGAAGAGATTGTGGTCAGATTTGCAAGAAGACAGACCAGAAATGCCATATTAAAGGCAACTTAAGCAACTCCACTGAAAATCGGGAATACAATCATCAAGACTTTAAAAGGCATTCCATTTGAAATTCGTCTAAAGAGGAAGAGTTATAAGCAGGGCTATTTTTGGGCAGGAACGCACAGGAACGGAGTTCCGGCTGGCTTCCAAGTTGGCCACACCCAGCAGGAACACATTAGCATAATAGGCCACACCCAACAGCAGAAACGTATTTGGATTGGTTACATTAGGGGTGTGTGGCCTAACATGCAAAAGGAGTTCCTGCTACAAAAAAGCCCTGGGTTTGGACAACAAACAAGGTAGAAGAAGAAGAAGAGAAGAGATTGGATTTATACCCCGCCCTTCACTTGGAGTCTCAGAGCGGCTTACAAACTCCTTTCCCTTCCCCTCCCCACAACAGGCACCCTGTGGGGTGGGTGGGGCTGAGAGAACTCTGACACAAACTGCTCTTTTTCAAGGACAGCTGTGCCAGAGCTTGTGACTGACCCAAGGTCACATCAGCAGGTGCAAGTGGAGGAGTGGGGAATCAAACCCGGTTCTCCCAGATCAGAGTCCGCACACTTAACCACTACACCAAGCTGGCTCTCGTAAACAGAATAAGAAGCAAAAGGTGGGTGTGGCTGGATGAGCACACTTCTGGTAACATGGGGGTGTGGCCTAATATGCCAATGAGCTGTGCTTTCAGGGGTGTGGCCTAATGAGTTTCTGCTGTTGGGTGTGGCCTATTATGCTAATGAGTTCCTGCTGGGCTTTTTCTACAAAAAAGCCCTGGTTATAAGGATTTAATCTCTTCAAACAAATGGAATACAGTACCGGTGGGCGATCCCTGAAGGTGTTGTCTTTAAAATCAACAATAAAAGAGAGAAGATAGACTCCATCTTCAAAGCCAAAGAATTCCTGAGATGTCAGCTGGGATCGGGGGAAGGATCTAAAGATGAAGAAACTAAGTCAAGTGACTCAGCTGCCTCGGGAACGGATGAGGACTCTGTAGCAGAAATGGGTGCGGGAGCAATGAAAACCGTATAT